AAACTTTTTATCTTGTTTTCCTTACCTGCTGCCATCTCAGGAGGACTTCCTGGAAGAAGAGACATTGTATGTCAATGGAACCTTCCTGGTAAAATACAGGAAAAATAAATAAATAAAATAAATATGCAAGTCAGTTCTTCTGGGTATGTCCCACTGGGCTGAAGCCCTCAGGAAGGTCCAGGACATGCTAGATGGATGTCTGGGGGAAGTCTTCAAATGGCAATACATCCCCCAGACTGAGCTACTGACCCACTCAGCAAGTTGACACCCTCACTAGGAAAAGCATCGGGAGAATGAGGTGATATAGTAGGTAAGTGCATTTCCCAATAACTTTAGGTTGTTGGAGTTTTAGTTACGCAAAAATGTTCGGAACAATGATTGGTCAGCGAGGTAACCAATAAAATTTTAGAGGAGGTGGGTCCAAGCAACTAGAGGAGACATCTGATTGGTTGGTTCCACCTCCTCTATTTGCATGGATCCACCTCCGCATCTGATGTAGTATTTAACTGGACACACGGGGATTTTAATTAATCAATGAATTGTGAATACATAACGTAATGTATCAGGAGGTAAAGCTTGCTACAGACTAATCTAGAGGAGCTCCATTTGTCTTAGCCTTTAAATGCAAGCCAAAGACCCAGCTTTGCTCTCGCTCTAGGTCTTGGGGTGACATTATTGAAATGCACCCACTCGACACCAGTGCTCCAGATATACTAGAGAAGACGGGAACTTATTATCCCGACTCTGCCGCAGTTAATCACTCTTCCACTGCCGCACTCCCACCTCTGACACCACCGATGATGCTACTTTTACTAGAAGCTGAAAAGAAGCGCGGCCATCATCCTGATGAGAAAACATGCTTACGAGCAAAGTGCGGCCAGATTTTGGGATGCTATTCTCATTCTCTGATCGAACCCGTTTTTTTTTTTTTTTAATTAGTTAACCTTTTGTAAGGTTTCTCTTCAACCCCATGCAAGGCAGCTTAGCCACTGGGTGGCAGATCTAGGCCCCCAGCCTCTCTCTCTCCACTTACCGCATTCTCATCCCATTGTTTACACATTCGTTATTATGGACACCTCCTCCCTGCAGAATGAAACAGAGCGAGGAGATCACAAATAGGAAAACGGGGGTAACAGGGGGCGATCCTTCCTCAGGCAATTATATGCACTGGAGTTATTGCATACTTGTGGTGAAGAAATAGCTTTTGAAAATTAATCTTGCGACCAGAAGGCAGATTCCCAGCAGTACGATGCTGTTTCCGTAGGAAAGCATCCTATCGTGGCAACGTGTAACATCCCAAAGCTACCTACCCCGTGAGCTGCTCAGGATATAGCAGCCAGCTAACAAAATTAGCACTGCAAACACAGTACAGTGCAAAAGTCTAAGGCAGTCGAAGAAAATGATGTTTAAATGATCTGCACATTGATATAATATATTATTATGTCTGTCCAAGTGTGTCAGCTTATTAATTTCAAAACCTCTCCTGAAGTCACCCCAATGTTTACAGCAATCGATACGTCTATGCATTTTTTGACTCGGCCACTAGCATGTTTGGCTAGTCAATACCTCATCAAGCCATTTAACTAATTAAATTAATTAGTTAATTGAGCTGGTGGTGAAACTTAATGAATACGTGGAATGGCTGGGGTGCGAGGAGAGGTTTGGGATCTGAAGCTGTGGTCTTCTAGCCATTCAACCAGACATCGGTGACTCAGTTTTTGGAGGGCAAAAGAAATTTTTGTTGGTTTTTATTGTTACTTTTAATTTGCATACCCTAATGTTAAATTGTGTTGCTTTTTAAGCAAATATACACTTAGAACCCAGATAACTTTATTTTGCAATTTTCTTTGACTTTTGCACTGTGTTGTATATTAAAAGGTTTATGTCTTTTTATAAAATGTGGTGAACATTTACCTCCCATCTAGCAAAGTCATTAGAGTGGGTGGATCAAGAGGGTATATAGTAGCCAGAGACAAAACGGAAAGCCTCAAAAGAACAGATCAAAAAGGAGAGAGACAGAAGAGTGGTAGGAGGAGGATGAGCAAAAGCAGAGATATATACAGTAATCATATTAGAGGCTTTTAATTAACAATTAAACATTTGTACAAAGAAAGAGAGAGATGTATTTTTATCATACACCAAAATTACTGTTAGTTAATGGAAGTGTATAGCAAAATTTTAAAGATTAAGGAAGAAATGAAGAAATATATATGACTAATGGCTCTTGTCAAAAAAATCAAGGAAAAGCTTACAATTAACATTGCTTAATTTGAGGACAGGCATCTATAGGTCTATTAATTATTGCATGTATATGGTGTGTTTGTGCTTGCGTGTTTGTGCTTGCGTGTTTGTACTGTAACGCATTTATTTGTTAATAAACGCAATAAGAGACTATACGTAACTTGATCATTTTAATTTTTATAAAACATTCTCCACAACAATTCTTGACCATAAAATGTTACCCAAATTTCTAGGAACTTTTTTTTTTTTTGCTAACTTTTATATAATTTTTATTAAAAGGTAAAGGGAGATTATTTACATACCGGCTCACAAAACACAGTAATACAAACTGAGCCTTCCCATGATTCCTCATTCACCCACCGTTTATGTCCTCTGACACGCGCAGGCACGTGCCTGCCTCTCACCCATTCACAAGGAAAAAAGAAGACAGCAGACAGAAACAGTCTCAGTCGGAGAAAATGTAATTAGGGATTGCAAAATGCACCCCGCCGCTTGCCTCGTCAGCACTGAAAACGTACAGTCGGTGAAAAGACAAAATGACAATAAAGATCAAATAAAAGCTCCTCCCTCCCAACGACCAATATAAATGGCATGATTTATTCTCTCGCTTTATTATTGGTACAGTATCTTAATGTTCAAAATTCAAATACAGTTTACCGTAAGCTCGTTTCACACGCACGTCTGAAAAAAGAAGTAAAAGCTATACTAACAAAACACAACACCGCACATTAGGTTTTTAACTGCAAATGAATTATAAAAATTGCAAACGGTCCTTAATAAAACTATGTGTCGTTGTGTACTCTGCATGTGACGTCACGCACACTTATGCCAGTTCTAGATTGCTATATATACATTTGACCCACTTTCCTCTCTCTAAACATTTTTTCCTGTCATTTTGCCTGTAGCTCAAACATTTTCTCATGTTTTTAGGAGAATGACGACGTGAGTTGTCCAAATCTTAAATATATGACCTTGTTTATAGGCCTTGTTTAGCTCTCGAATAAAAATGTAGACAGATGGTGCTGTTGTAGTCTTTGCAATGTGGGACACTGGGACTTTCAGGCATTAAGGTAATTAATGTAATTAATGTAGTCATGAAAATATAATTCAGGCAATGTCTGGAGTGTTGATATTGATGTATGATGTGAGATTACAAGAAATAAACCACTAGCATAATGCAAAATCACATAACTATTGCCAGTGAGTCGTTGCAGTGAGCTTTACGTTGTTTCAAGAGGTACACAGCAAGAACTGCTTCGCTGCCTGTGTCTTTAAATGCAATTAGAACAGCTGTCAAATTCTCCTCAATACATATACACACGCGCGCACACTTACACTTTCTCTCTTTATGTTTAGAGAGGCTTAAAAAGTTGCAAACGGATGCCATTCCCGAAATAGCAAACACAGTCGCACAGATAACCACACATACCCATTAGTTTTCACTAAAATGTCAGTCTGGAATGAACAACAAAAATTCCCAAGATTTCCCAGAGCTGATTGTCTAAAGATTTACCAAAGTGTTTGACGGTGATTTTTAAAAATGGGAATTTAAACATTTCTTATTGATAAAAAAGAAAATAATAAGTACATAACTTGTAAAATGACAAACGATTGCCATAAACTATTGACATAACAGGTGATGTGTATTGCACACAATCTTAAAGTCTGCATGAACACCCAGGAAAACACTGGGAATCACGCTGACCGCCATGTGGACCCGGTGACGTCATTAGAGCACTAATCACAGCAGGCGTCCTCTTTTCGCACTTCACGCCGAAGACGGGCATATGTCAGTATTCCCAAATCGCAGGATCCCATAATCCCTGCTGCCTGGTGCCACTTATAGAGTGGATAAATAAGTGCTTGATTTATGGATAAAGCCACAAATTCACTAAATTTACCAAAATGAAATATGACCATACTTTTTGCGTTACATATATACATATATTTATAGATGCATATATGTATCGATATATGACCTACACCTGTACATATATGTTTATATATAGATTTTTTGCAGTGACTCCTAAACTTCACAACAATGCTGTATTCAAATCCATCATTTCTTTAGAACAATGAAGTTCAGTCTTAAAATAAGTTAAAACATATTATAAAGGAATGTGATCCCAACAAAAGTACCCATAGTATCAATAAAACCCATAATGTTCTATTTTTTTTTCTTTTTTGTATTTTTAAAATATTTTTCATATTTATTCGACCTTTTATTTTGTGTAAAACACTCTATGGAAAGTTACATCCTGACTGTCTGCTTATTGTGCAAAGTGAAAAGGATTCTATATACACAAGCTCAAAGGTAACACACAATCAAACTAGAACAATAGATGCCCTCACCTCCTTCCCATCCCACTTTTGGTCATCATAAGTTCCAAACACTTGTAGTATAAAAAATTTCAACAACAGAGAGAGAAAATATTTCGAAATAAGTTCAAAGTACAATGGAATGACCCTGATTTAAATACAAGGCGCAATAAATTTCCATTTTTAAAAAATGAAAACAGGAGGGCGGCATGTGCAGTGGTTAGCGCTGTTGCCTCAGACCGCTGGGATCTGAGTTCAAGTCTCCACCAGGGTTCCACGTGTGGGGAGTTTGTATGATCTCCCCATGTTGTTGTGGGGTTTCCTCTGGGGTTTCCTCTGGGTACTCTGGTTCCCCCCCCCCCCCCATAGTTCAAGAACATGGTGAGATTGGAGTTACCAAATTGCCCATAGGTGTACCTGTGTGAATGAATGGTGTGTGAGTGTGCCCTGCGATGGGTCGGCAACCCATCCTGGGTCATTCCCTGCCTTGCACCCTTAGGCTCTGGACTCCCCATGACCCTGAATAGGGCAAGTGGTTTCAGAAAATGGAGGAAAGGATAATGAAGAAGGGGTAAAACAATGCAGATTAACTAATCTATCAATGACTAGTTTTCTCAACATTTACTATTACTCTTACCCCCTCCCATTTGCCTCGCTTTAAAATCTACAAACACATATTTTGAGAACTTCTGACACTACATGTGGTTATTTTTAATCATCATGAGATGATCTCTAAGCAAAAGAAAATGTGTTTTCAGCTGGAGCGTGGCGCTAAGATCGACACCTCACTCCACTGGCAGCCCTTAAAAAGACGAATGTTGAAAACGCCTGGTATTAAAAGCCCACTCTGGACACATGAAACACAAAAGCAGGCTCGAGGCGAATCCGATTCAGCTCCAAATCCAGTCCGATCCAGCTTACGCTAGCTTGAAGCCCACGGGGCCACTGGCTGTGCTATGCGCAACATCTCAGTCCAACTGCTTGGGCGGAACACGCGTTCGGGTCAGCGGACGTGAGGTTCAGAGAGTAATGGGCTCCTTCCTGTGGCACCTCGTGTTTTTATTTTTTGGTCACTCGGAAAGAACGTGCGAATTGTAAAAATGTGTCGGAGCTAAAGTGTCCTGCCTGTACGCTGATGTGTGCTACAGTGCTCTGCAGATCCAGGTCATCTCTCAGACAGTTCTGAGCAGTCCGCCACTTGACGTTCTAAACCCTACTCATCTTGCAGAGATGAATTGCTGGGTGTAACCACTGCGTCGTTATCCAGTGACAACAGCAAGCTCAGCTCCGCGCGACCAGATTGTGTAAGCAACCTATGACATGTCCTAAGCCCACTGCAAAGCAACACATTTGCTGATATTTATCAGACAATAAGATTTGAGATACCATGAAACGTCCCACAAGATACAATTTCGTAAGTACAGTTCAGTACTGTGCAAATCATGCCTTTCACAACCTTTCACAACACTCCTAATAAGCAAATAAATAATTGAACACAGATCATTAATAATAACCATAATAATAATAATAATAATATAAAAATATAACAGGAAACCCCATAATGTTGTTCTAACAGCTACTCGGTTTCAATTGAATATGAGCTTCCTGCTATATCGGCTAACAAAGAATTTCCTACAAATATTGAACAGCATAAAATATCTCCATAAACACACAACTGAAAGCTATTTTAATAAAACATTGTTATTATACTCAATTTACTGTATTAACAATGCTAGTCACTTAATTATTGTCAGTTTACCCTGTAGTTTTTGAGTTATAATTGGATTTCCACAGCTAACCAGGGTCAGGAGAAACTGTCTGTTTTGGTGTTTTGAAGTGGAAGATGAGAAGAAGGAAGATGTGAAGAGCAGAGAAGTGCAGAGTAAACACATGTCCAAGACAGTTCCACCAGTTGTGCCTGGTGTTCTTCCATCTTTTAACTCCGTCAGTACCTGAGGCCATGTTCATGGGTGAGTCTTCCCAGTGTCACATATTTCATGGTAACATTTCAGCAGGTTCCTATCTGCATGTATCTCCAGGTATATTCCATTGTCTGGCTGCTCGGTCCTCTCCCAGCATTCAAGATCATCTTTTGTGCCCCTCCACCCCTGCAGATGGTGCTTAACAATTCCTTCATTCCCTGTCATTGCCACATTCGCACATCCGCTCCTACCCCCCGCCCCCCCCCAGTCCTGTTACACATCAGACTCAATACTAGACAGCTTCTCGTATACGTGCCCATTGCTGGAGCCGTTGAATGGCCTCTGTGTCTGCCCTCCCCCAAGGCTCTCCCTTGTTTGCAGGAGCTTGTTGTTGGTGGGGCCTCCGTGGTGGTTCCCTAGGGGTCCCCCAATTCCACCCAAGCTGACTTCTTTGGGGAGCCTGGTGGGCATATTGGACATCACCCCTCCCGTGGCAGAAGTCGGCAAGAAGGAGGTCGCCCCCATCGAGCTCCTCAAGTCATTCCATTCTCCACTTCTGGATCTCATGAGCTGCTGCTGTTGCTTTTTGACGTGGTGCGATTTGGCACCATGTAACAGACACTGGTCATCACCGAAGGTTGGAACGAAGGGGTTTTGGTTGACTTTATCTGGGTAGAGGGACTTGGACAGGGAGTATGTCCCAATCCCTCCTCCACGTCCCCCACCTCCGTCACCACTCATCATCCCCCTCTCTCTGTCCCTGCTGTCCCTCTCCCCAAAGGACCGACGATGGAAACCACCCCCATCTGCACTTCGAAACAGCCCAAAGGAGGACCCACTTTTTCCCCGGTCACCAAAAAACAACGGATCCCGGTCCCGGTCCCGGTCCCTCTCTCGCTCCGATCCCCCGTGCCTCTCAAACATGTGGGCGTAGGGACTTGGACCCTCCATGAAACGGTCTTTGTCTTTCAAGCTCACACTCCTCGGCTGGGGCAGCATTCCTCCCATGCCACGTCCCATACCCCCGGGCCCCATCCCCATCGCGCTGGCCTCCTCCTTTTGCAAGTCTACGAACGTGTCGTATGAGTGCTGCCTCCGCAACACTTTGCCGCCCAAGCCCGGCTTGCGCCGCTGCACTTGAGTCTGCGACTGGACGCCCGCCCCGCTGCCGCTGCTCATCAGTACCCCCTTTCCACCCTCGTACTTGCCACCCAGCGGTTCCAAAAGAGGGTTGTTGTCTTCACTGATGTCATACAAGTTCCCGGTCTTCTTGCACGAGTCGCACCGCACACACGCCGAACTGGGCCGCCCGGAAACAGCACTGTTCCCGCCGCCGCCTCCCCCGGCACATGGACCTCCACCCCCTGAGAAGCTCCCACTCCCCCCAGCGCTGTGCAAAGGCACCGGCTTGGTCCCACAGCTGTGGCAGTTTCGACACTCCCAGTCTCCCCCCGCCAGCCCTCCGCCCCCAATCCCAGTCACATTCTTTTCCCAGCATGTCTGTGTTTGCTGCACTGGAGTGGGCGTGCCGCTCTTACCCTCTACCTTCTTACCTTTCCCTTTCAGGAAATCATCCACCGCCACCAGACTTGTGCAGTTGGTCCCACCGCCACCACTGACTCCTCCTCCACTGTTGCCCCCACCTCCACCGGCAAGCCTGCCTCCTCCGCCCCCGCCGGGCACATCCGTCAAATCCACATGCTCCCATTGGGGTATTCCTTCTTTGGGGCGGAACTGGTCCAGGTAGAAATCTCGCAGGTTCTCTTTGTCGCGGAACAGGTACGATGAGCAGTTGCCAGCAGGGCCCCCTCCCCCTCTTTGCGAGTTCTGCTCCAGGGGCAGCAGGGGCGGGGAGGCCGATCGGTGTATCGCGGGCCCATGGTAATGGTGATGAGACAGGTGATGGGCGCGTCGTCGGTACCCCAGTTCGATCTCATCCAGCTCGCGTCTGGACTTAGCCGATGCAGGCCTCTTCTTCAGGCTGTCTCGGTACTGCTTGCGTCTCTTGGCATTCCCTTCCAGGTTGCCATAGGTGACCGTGTGCGTGGAGATGTCCGACACATCCGACCGGATGTTGCCATCGTCACCACCGCCACCGCCTCCCCCGCAGTACCGGTCATGTCCGGCGATGAAGCCAGAGCTGGACGCCCCACCTTTGAAGGAAAACTTCCCGTAAATGTCTTGCTTGAACCCTTGACCGGTAGATGGGGTGTGTCCTACGATGAGGTCGAATTTGCTATTGTTCCTGTGTGTCAGTGAGGCACGGGGCTGTGTGGTGAATATGGGCGCCACCCCTCCTCCTAAGCTGTCACAGTCAAACAGACCACCTTCCAGCGAACTGGCACTCCCCAGGCTATGTGGTCTGTTGGGAGGGGGGCCAGTCAGGCCCAGGTTCATCCCAGGTCCCGAGCCCTGGTGATGGTGCAGGTAATGGTCCTGGTACAAGTTGCTATCCTTCAACGGCATATTCCCGAACGTCCTCTCCACCTCGCTGATGTAGTCACTGAACATGTTGTCCTCGGGCAGGTAGGGGGGCTTGCAGTCCGAGTGTCCGGCCAGGCTACGACGGTGCTCCGAGATATCGTAGACAGACGACTCGCGGCGAATGAAGTCCAACGCGCTGTGCGGAGAGCCATTGGCCCCTGAGATCGAGGTCATGTTCTTGGCCGTGCGGAGCAAGCGCATGATGTTGGAGTGCGTGTTGTTCATGGTAGTCGAGGGTGAGTTCAGGGGTGACTTGGACTTCTCGATCTGGACCCCGTGGATGCAGCTGTAGATGCCCTGTTTTATACGAGGGGTGGAGAGATGAACAGAGAGCTCAGCGAGCAAATGGGACGCACTCTGCAGTACATTAAGTACTGCACTGAGCAAGACAAGCTAATTAATACAATATATATTCTACTGACAGCGTGGACTCAGACTGACAGTGCTTTTAGAAAAGCTCTTGGAGTTTTGGATGGGGGCCTGGGTAAATGATTGATAATGACAGAGATGCTGTAAGGGCATGGTTTTAACTGCCAATCAATAATTTTAATCAATGGGTTTAAAATTATTCCGTGCAATCCTGCCTCTTCATTTTAATTTTAGGTACATCAAGTGAACTGCAACTACAAAAGATGTTCCTGTGAACTTCTTTACTCCTAAAATTGCTTCTTTACACAAAATCAAGTATGTAGGTACCACTGCCACCAGAAATAAACAGATACTAAGACTAAGGGACCGGTTTAAAAAAAATCAAGACTGACTGAATCGGAAACATTCCAGAAGGACTGTAGGTAAATATGCACAGACAAGCGGAAAGTCAAATGATTCTATTTTGGGAATTGAGTGCTTAACAGCACCTCTGTCTCAGAATAAAAGTTTTTCACATGAACTTCTTTATGCTGGTATTTTACTCTGTTTAATTTTGCAACTTTTTATTCTGACAGTCCAGTCTGTATCCCAGCACCCTCTTCATGGCTTTTACGTCTCCATCTGTCCAACCACTGGTGTGAGTGTGGTGGATCATCATAGCGAAAAAAGACCATTTCGGTTCATATAAATTACTTCAGCATTTTACCGAAGCATAAAATCAATTTGTAACCAAAAACGTTGGAGGGCAGCTCACTAAACACCTGTTCCCTGACCATTTTCTCTCCCAGCCAGTGTTAAGATGGCTGACGTTGAGGTTAACGTGAAGGACAGTCGTAATCTCGGCGCAATGATTCTTCCTAATTTGCATCGAGTTTGTATATTAAAAACAACGAGGGTGGGAGGTGTGGGAAACACCACCCACCTTAACATTGTGGGGGGGTAAGTCTGGATGTTGATGACTTGATCCCATGTACCGATTGGATGAGTCATGCATTCCGGCAGCATAACCGAGGTTAATGCAGTTAGTCTTCACCAGTGAGTTTTCGCTTTCATTTCTGACAGTCCAGGTGCGTGGACTGATATCGTAGCACACATAAGACACGGTCGCAGTGCCGCAGAACTGAGCTGTTAGAAGCTCCCTCGATTTTTGAGGTGTCGAAGTAAAAACTGCAGACTGGTTACTAATGATGATGATGATGATCCCATGAAACTTAGAGGTAAACAGCAAGTCAGGATGGGGGGGGAGGGTGCGGCTGATATCAGTCACCCATCATTGTAGGCACTACTGCACGGCTCACTGAGCCAGAGGACCTGCTGCAAGGCACTGACCTGCATTGACCCCATCTCTTGCCCTTTATCTATCTCTCAATCTTGTAGCCACTTATTCTGGTCAGGGTCACAGATCATTGCCTTTATATGCGTTGGTCAATCTCATTGGCTGGTCCTAGGTGATGTCGGTCAATCTCATTGGCTGGTCCTAGGTGATGTCGGTCAGTCTCATTGGCTGGTCCTAGGTGATGTCAGTCAGTCACATTGGCTGGTCCTAGGTGATGCCTGTCAGTCTCATTGGCTGGTATTAGGTGATGTTGTTCAGTCTCTTTGGCTTTTCCTGAGTGCCATTGTTGAATCTCATTGGCTTATCCCCAGCCCTGAATTATTCACCCTTTCCACAAGTATGGGAGCAGGTACCTTGGAATGTGTCAGTTTTAGACAGGAGAGCAAAGCTTGTGGACAGTGCACAGGGCCGGCCATCCAGCAGCACTGGATCCAAAGAGCAACATCACCACTCCATCAAGAATGGGATTCAAACTAGCTCCCTTCTGATCACAGGCACCCTGCTGAACCACACACCACTGCCATAAAGCGCGACCGGGGTTCCGTTTTTGTGAAAGGAAATTAAAAAGACATTAATAATCAATTAATAATCACCATCAATAATAGATCATTTTAGCACTTTTGTTTGCATCTGCCATTGTATCACGTGGTATATAGCATAATTTCACTGCTACAGGAAAACAAAAGAATTACCTATTGTTTTTTTTTTGTTTTGTTTACTAACAGATAATCAAGATAATGAATGCATGTCCCAAGGCTTTATTTTTAGTTTAAAAAAATTAACAAAAGTTTGCCTTCCCCTGAAGTTTATTTGAGAGCAATATTCTTTAGCTATTACAAAGCCTGGAGCGACTTCAGGAAGGTGACTGATGAGATAAGGATTCATTTACATACAGGATTCCTCTGCTGGAATGAGGCTAATGCATTATTTCATGATGCAAGAACTACGCGAGTGACAATCGACAGTCATGTTGTTATCCATGACAGCTGCGGTGTGAATCTTTAAACACATTTCTGCAACCTAACATTCACGGTGTGAATCTTTAAACACATTTCTGCAACCTAACATNCGGTGTGAATCTTTAAACACATTTCTGCAACCTAACATTCACGGTGTGAATCTTTAAACACATTTCTGCAACCTAACATCCATTATCAATTACCATTCATTCTCCACCGTGGTGTGGCGAGCAATTCGAGAGTAAAGCACAGAAACTCTGTTTACCGTAGCTATAAGAAGCTCCATTTTTAGATACGTTTTTAGCTTGGAACTACCCAAAGTGTGATGAGGGCTAAAAAAAGAAAATTACGAATGTCTTAGTACTGAAAATAGCTGTAATCTGATGTGACCTTGTCATCCGTTGGAGTCTGTCAAAGGAATTTGTGTTCTCTTTAATCTCGCGTAGTGCTGTGTGGGAAAACAGCGAAGCAGCCAGTCTTGTGGGTTTCCATGGACAACTCACCCTGCTAATGGAGAAAGTCATGCCTGGCCGGCCGGAGCAGACGCCCATGAAGCAGAAGCGCAGCTGCCAGTAGAAGAGGTGCTCGCAGATGAAGGTGAGGAGCGAGAGCACCATGGCCGCCGCCAGCATGTAGAAGACCCCCGCCATGTTGTCGATGTCCAGCTGGCTGCTCATCACCTCGTTCTTCTCGTTGTGACAGATTCCCGTCAGCCACAGAGCCTCCAGCTCCTCCATCTCACCTGAGCGTAGGCAGCAGAAGGCCGAGGAGGGGGGGAGGGGGGGGCATGGGAGACGGGAGAGAGGATGCAATCGGAGGTTGGCAAGAGAGAACGTGGACAAGTTGATGGAAAAGGTTGAGGGAACGGGAGGAAGAGTAGAGAGGAAGGAGATGAAAGTGTAGAGAGCGAAAGGGGTAGTAAGTGTGTCACATGAAAGGGTGCATGATGGGTAATAAGGAGAGAAGAATAAAAGAAAAACAAGTTAAAAGAGAAAAAAGCTATTTGCGCATTTGCCAGAATGACGCATTGTAATAAAAAGCAGATCCATTAAAGTCATGTTCTATTTGCGAGAGCAAGCAACCCTGGAAACATGTTGGCTCTACAAGGCACACACGTTGGAACCCTTAAAAAGAAATACGCGGAATAAAGATCTGGCACCTTTTCGGGAGACAGCGAGGGGTGTAAAGTAAAATGGGCCTCAACGTGACGTCTTTCAGAAGCTCCCACTGTGCGCCTGTACGCGTCGAGCTTAACCCGCCGTCGCTGCCAAAGCACATCAGCTACCGGTAACTAGGCCGTACTGCAAGCGTCGGTGTCAGCGTGTGACAAAATGACTTTGAAATTTTCAAGCGGTGCCCACTTAAGACAAGCTAAACAACCACAGGCTGACCTACATTCAGACGGCTGACGTGAACCAGTAGCTATCTAACCAAATTCGGGGCCATTGCTGCAAACATGTAGCATATATGGCACTCAAGTCACTTTAAAATCAGACGTGCAGTTGAGAATTCGAGTCAAGGCCTACCTGTAATTTGAATAAAGTAGACAACTGGTTTTATAAGATCTCCCATTAAAATTAGTAATAGCTTCCTGTGTTCATTATTTCAATTAATCACTGATTAATCATTACAAAACAGAAAAGTTTCAGAGTTTTTTTTTCTCTTAAGTATGTTCTCATTATTTGATCATTTGCCAAACAAACAAATACTAAATTAGTGCTAAGCTCAATTTAGATTAATCAAGCTCTCACTTGATTACTTGACGCACTAGGAACAATTGAAACATGATTAAATCATAAAAAAAAAATAAACCATAATGAAGCCTAGATGACATACGGATTTATGTTATATTGTGCCATTTGCGACAATCAATAGTTCAGCCAGGGCTAATTAATTTTATTGTCAATGAAAACAAAATATAAAAACATTAAAAAGTAAATAACCTTAAATATAACAACAGTGACGGTACATACTGTACCACAAAATGTAATGCCTACCTAGCAAATAAAAAGCATCTCAATCAAAAGAGGGCTGCCGCACACTGTCCCAACATCCAATCTTTGTTTTTAAGTGCGAACACCATTTTCTCAGAAAACAAAAATTTGGCATATTTTGAAAAACAAACCAGAAAAATAAAAATCAAGGCATTAACTTCATTTGTACCATTGACTGAAAATGCAGTTAATGTTAACATTTTCATTCTAGAAGGTTAATATGATTTTTAAAAAGTTTTTTTCTCTTTTGTTTTCTTAATCCAAATATGTCAGGTTACCTGTTATATGAAACTGAGGCATAAATTCAGACTCGATAAGCTTCCCTTGGGCCCTGTGGCCTATCACGCAGATCCTAATCCTAGCCTGTACAGTCTATGATTTGGATATTCCACTTCCTTTATGAAATTCCTTAGATAAATCTGAAAGGTTAAGTGTTCAGCTGAGACCCAACCAGCAAACACTTATGATTAAGAATCCCTGATCCAAAGTTTCAATCAAATGTCAACAACACATCCTCAGAACACATCAGTAAATCACACCTGCCAGTGTCTGTTATCTACCATCTGCCGAAT